TATGCATCCTTAGATACTTGCCACCTGTCAAGATCTTTTTAATCTTCAAAGTACTTTACCAGTATTAATCCTTATGACTCCTGAGAGGTGGTTATTAGATTTTATATTATATAACTAGGAGAAACCAAGGATGAGCGATTCAGTGACTTACATAATGCTACAGCGGCTAGATTGAATGGTGTGGTAAATTGGGAACCTATTCACTCTTCTCATAATACTAAAGCAAGGGGGCATTCAGTGACATGAAAAGGGGTGAATTCAAAACATAAAGATGTTTCCATGCAGCACACACTGCATCCATGTGTTGAGATGATGAGTTTAGGAGGATTTGAAAAGGCGGCTTTCATATGGATCAAAAGAATGTTGTTATACTACAGGTTGTACCTCCCTAAACCGGGACTTTCTGGGTCTGCAACTGCTAGACCATGGATGTTTCTGGACCACATAGCCCAGGAACAGGGAGGTCTGGCAGTGGGGTCAGGAGTGTAGGGTGTGGAGGAGAGGAAAAGGGAGCTGGTGACTTAGCTGGGAGCTCTGTGTCAGGAGGGGCAGGCAGTGCAGCAGGGTACTCTGGTCCCAATGACCGGGGAGCTCCAGCCCCAGACAGGCCAGTGTCATGAGTGCTGGGGCCAGAGCCCTAACCCTGAGGGCAGTGGGGTAGTGTGGACCATGAGAGAAGATGGGCTGGGAGGTCAGTAGCAGGGGACTGGTGAAGTCCTAAAGGTGCTGGACCAGGCAGGTCCAACTTGTAATAATAAAACTTGTAATACGAAAAAGGGTTGGGGGAGCTTTGAAGGGGATATAAAACCCATATAAAATGCCTCGGGTCTTAAGCAAAACTCTCATTACAGGGAGGTAGAGGAAACTTTTTGGGGGAATAGATTATTCCATAACTGTGTATTGCAGGGCTTCTTGCACCTTCCTCTGAAATATCTGCTATTGCTCACTAGGGATGTAAACGAGTAATCAGTTATATGATTAACTGATAAGCCTAGGCTTATTGGTTAATCTAGTCTACTAATCACATTTATTTCCTCCTATCTTCCTCCCTCCCCTGCTGCCTCTGTATCAAAGGCAGCAAGAGGGGAGCAGGAGTTGGTGCTGCCTCCCACCCACCCTGACCACGCTACCTGTCCATGGGAGGGTCCCAGCTCCTTGCAGACAGAGACTGGACCAACCTCTATCCATGGGGAGCTGGGACCTCCATGCACTGAGCTGCTGCCAGACCAGCCTCTGTCGAGGCCAGTCTGAGTTGCCGTAGAGAGGCTGCTTTGTGGCAGCTTCCCCCCCAAAGCAGCTTCTGTCCATGAAGCGCTTAGATCCCCCACGGACAGGGGCTGCTGCCACCCCGTGCTGGTCTGCACAGGAAGCTGGTTTTTAAATTGGTTCTCCTAGCAGAATGGCTGATGCCTGGCCCTCTATCCTACTGTCTCTGATACTAGCCTGTACGGCTGCGTCTGTAGGAGCTTCCCGGGAGTGTGGCCGGATTGCACCAGCTGCTAGCCCTGCCCCTGCAGACTACAGAATAGTCAAGTAACAGATAAGAATTTATGCAGTTACTTGACAACTCAATTACCCATTATCTAACATTCCTATTGTCCACTGTTGGTGGAAGGATACTGGAATAGTTGAACCACTGATCTAATATGGCAATTGCTATTTGTCAGAGCCAAGATGTCCTTGGCTCCCATTATGTTGTTTAAACACACTGGACTATGTCCCCCCTCTTGTGTTTTTCCTGTTGTATATAGTTGGCCTTTTTTTTTTTTCTTTTAAAGGTAAAAGATGTGATTGAAGAACATACCCCTCCAGAAAAAGCAATAAATGGCCCTGCTAATGCTCCTGGGGATGAACCTTCTAATCCACAGAATAGTCCTGAAGAAGAGAAGTCAAGTACTATACAAGAAGATGAAAATAATCCGGAAGAAGCAGTGCTGAATGGTGTTTCATAAACTGAAGTTCCTAGTTTACAGTTCTTTTACATTACATTTTACAATAGTGCTTGTATAAGCTTGCCAAAGATAGAATATGGATCGCCAGTCTTGACACCGCACTTTCAGTTCCTCCATTTTGGAATTCAGAAAGGGGAGGGATCCTGAAGAAATCATATGTTAAACATACTTTGACACCTACTGTGTTATAAATATATCATCAGATGTGCCTTGAGATAGTATATGTAACATTTAAATAAACAAAAAATTGCTGGCTATAGGAAATGTTATTTTGTTTTCAAAATATGGCAAAGATGTGGGGGGAATCCCTAATGTAATATTCTTTATGAAAGCATTAGCTGCTTTTGTTACATTTTTAATAATATGCAACCACTTCTTCACCTGAGGAAAACTAGAAAGAAATGCAGTCTAAAATATTTTGCACTGAATTGTAATTTCTCCATTAGTTTAGTCTGGAAACTGGTCTGTTTTAATACATGTTTTTTAAATGCTGTATGTAGAGGTAAAAAAAACTGCAGACCACTGGAATACATTTGTTAAATTCTCATAATCTGCAGGGATATTGGGTGACATTGGCAGTGACTGTTCTACTTTGAGGCTTTGTTTGGTTTATTTATTAAACTGTACAGTATTTAAAAATCAAACATAGCTTTAGTTAAAACACTAAGCTGAATTAGTCATGTCCATTAAGACATAACCGAAACTACTGAAAAGATCAATTTCCAGAAAGTTTATTCTGTATAAACTACATATGTTAGTCCTTAGTAGAGTATTTTTATTTTTGTTTTGGTTGTTTGATGTGCAATATGTTTTTGTATGCTGGTAGATATTTTTATTTTTTTGTTTTGGTTGTTTGATGTGCAATGTTTTTGTATGCTGGTAGAAAAAAATAAACTTTGATCTTCCATTGGTTACTTGGTTTCCTTTAATCAGAAGCATGGTTTAGTTAAAGTAATTCAAGATATCTTGCTTTTTGTAAATTTAGTACTAAACTCTACATTCATTAACAGGTTGAGGTGAACTCTAAGCTCCCTTCTAGGTAGGACCTAGATAACACATTATGCTTATGCTTTCTACACAGGAGTTTTTAAAACATTAGTTCAGACACTTGAAAATAACTTTTATCCTCTAGACTAGAAAGGGCATGGAGTACTAACAGTGGCACATTCACATGCTGACATGTAGGTTTTTAAAGAGGGACTTAGAGGGTGGAAGCCTGGCACACTAAGAATAGGGGAGGCCATTCCAGCTACAGGGGCAACATTGATATGCACTAAACATTATGCAGAAAAATGGGGAGAGCATCAAGGACACTATCTTGTGCTATGGACCGAAAGGATGCAGAACAATATCACAATAGATGTGGGTGGGATTGTGCAGTGTCTTGATAAAGACAATCTTAAACCTAATTCCATGAACACAAACCAGTGGAAGGATTTGAAGAATATGATCTGAGGATGCCATTTTTTAACTGCTGCATTTTATATAGCTAGAGTTGTGATAGGAAATGAGGAGGCTAGAGAGGCTGCAGTAGTCAAGGTAAGAGGAGCAAAACACAAGCATTCATTTCACAGACATGTTGGGATGTTTTCAGCATGTTTTGGAGAAAAGTGTTAGGATTTGATGACAGGCTAGTTGTCAGTAAAGTATGCAGTCAAAATGATTCTCAAGTAAACAACTGGGAAGGTGGTAGTCACAATGGCACTGCTGATGGGAGCAAGATGGGTTCATCTGATGTGTTTTTATATCTGAAAAAACATGATCCTGGATATAGGGAACAAGAGAAACATGGAGATAGACTGGAGAGCCATTAACAAAATTTGTATTTAATACTTTAAGATGCATCACATCCAGATCTATACATGTGTTTTAGTTTGGGAAATACATAGCTAACCAGAGTGAATTACTATATAGAATCTTCATGCTTCTCTTTTTGCCTATAAAAACAATTCAATACAGTTTTTCCTTCTTTGATTTAGCCTTGCTCATTGCTTGATGCCAAGAATTTGAGTGGTAGTATTCCTATACATAAAGGCTACGTCTAGTCTGGCATGATTTTCCGCAAATGCTTTTAACGGAAAAGTTTTTCCCTTAAAAGCATTTGCGGAAACAAAAAGTGCTTTTGCGGAAAAGCGTCCGTGCCAATCTAGACGCGGTTTTGTGCAAGCAAGCCCTGATTGCCATTTTCGCCATCGGGGCTTTTTTGCGCAAAACAGTTTTCAGCTGTCTACACTGGCCCTTTTGTGCAAAAGCATTTCTGGAAAAGGGCTTTTGCCGGAACGGGAGCAGCATAGTATTTGCGCAAGAAGCACTGATTTCAGACAGTAAAAAGTCAGTGCTTTTGCGCAAAATCAAGTGGCCAGTGTAGACAGCTGGCAAAGTGAAAAAAGGCATACATTTTTGCAGACTGGGGTCAGAGATACCCAGAGAGAGGTTGCAAAGACCTTAATTTGGTCAGACTCAGAAAAGCTAGAAGTTATGTGAATGCTGTAAAGCAATGTTTTCTCTACCAAGGGAGAATGGATAGGTGTTGTTTTTTTGCTGGGGGTGGAGGGGTAGCGGCACAATGACTTTAGTTTCTTATTGGTAAAAAAGAAAATGTCATCCTTGTAGCTTTGAATCTAAGGCCACATCTTCACTTCCCACAAGATTGACACTGTGGTGATCTCCTGGACTTTGTTTTAGCAGCTCTAGTAAAGATCTGCTAAATCAAATGCTGAGGGTGCACCTGTCAACACCGGAACTCCCACTCCTCACGTAGAGTAAGGGAAGTCAACAGAAGCATTTGCTCCCATTAACCTCACACTGTGGAGTTGGTACCAAAGTCTGAATTAAGGTATGTCAATTCCAGCTACACAGTTAGTGTAGCTGCAGTTGCATATCTTAATAAGCATACATGTGGCCTAAGCATCTATCCTAAAGGGTGATACAAGTAAAATTCCCACTTTATTACAAACTTTAGAGTTCTTGTAAGAGTACTGGAACTTATTTTTTAAGATAAAAGCATAATATAGTGTAAGACTTTAGTATATTGTGCAATTTTAGTACTTACAAGTATGTGCCATTTTATTTAAATGCAGTGGAATTAGTAAAAAATTAAAAATCAGGGTAGAAGTAAAAAATACATGAGAAATCAATAGCACTGAGTGACTATGTCCAACTTGTTTTTGAAAGTTAATACAAATTATCTTACAACAGAATTCAGTACATTCCACTTTCTCCATTTCATGTGTTGCATTTATACCAAAGAATTTCTAAATCTTTACTCCTATTGTGCAAATCCCCATGATTTTTCTTAACAGGTGGTTTCAACCCATCCTTTTCTCGTATTAATATCTTACTAACTTTGGAATATTAAGCCATAGCAGCATGAATTTAAAACAGATGTACCTGATTAAAAAGAAATTCAGTATTTTCTGAGTACTTGAGACTATCAAGCTGCTTGTCTGCCTACATGAGAACATATAAATTAGCCAGATCACAGTATTTCCCATGTCATACTAAGAAAAAAAACTTGGAATTAGAGGTAAATTGTACCACTACTACAAAGAGTGGTTTATAATCACTTTTGAAAAAGTACTTGTTCTCAAACATCATTGAGCAAGTCAAAAACATTGGTGTCAACTTTGCTTGTGTCAGTTAATCAAAATTGATACTAATATACACAAACTAAACCACTGATTTACACTTATTTCCACATTCACTTCTTAGCTTGGCCTTCCAGTAAATCTTTAGCTTCATTGATTTTGGCTGCCACATAGGGAGAACCACCTAGAAGAGAAAAAGTCTTGTCACAAAACAGGCAATGTTTTCTATTTTATTGCATTATTGCCCAATTCTGACTTAATGGTACCAGTAGGAAGAAAATGTGAACATGTCTGTTTAAAGAAACAGCCAGATGTTCCTATTTCATAAGTTAATACACAAGTGATCAGACAAGTCGCAGAATACTTAGGCTTTGTCTACACGTGGTGTTCAGGAACAGCTATTAGTCCAATAAAGTGGATTAAGTTTAACAGGAAGAAGACACTCTGATTCTGCAATACATCTCAACACAGTGCAGTAACAGTGATTCCAGAATAACTATTCTGAAATAATTTAATGTGTAGACAAGCCCTAAATTCTTTTAGGTCTCTAGCCTAGATTTGTATCAGGTGGTGAATTTCATGATAGGGTCACTAAGGATTCAGAGAGGTATGCATAACTATTTCCCAAATGCTTTTGATGTTTTCTGCAAATTTAAAATTTCAAGTAAAGCTTAATGAGTGCAGAGATTAACCAGTCTAATTTAGCAGGGGCCGACCCAACCTTCTGTACTGATGGCATAATAGTGAAATGTAAAATACGGGTGTTTAGTAGATTAAGCAAAATGTAATCCCTCGGGTTTCATATAGAAAGGCAAAGTGCATAGGCCTTTGAAGAGTATAAAGGCCAGTGTCTCCTAATGTCAGTATTCTTTAATTTAGTTTCTGTTAAAAATGGGCAATATTATGAGACTCAGAATACTCTGAATGCATGTTATTAGATTCTGCATATGCCTAAGAATTCACTTGATGTTGCCTCTGCTGGAAATTTCTGGGCAAAGCAGATCCTGATGAGTTTTATTTAAGGAGGAGGGAGGCGGCAAAGAATGGATGAGAAATTTCATAGTCACTTCAAGGCAGCTAGTTTACCTTTCAAATCAAGATTAAATGTCCCAATTTGCCAAGTGCCAAAGGACATGAAGTCAATGGAATTTAAGTGCTATGATAAATAGAGATGGGATTACTTGCATTTAAAGTTGCTCATGTACAGTAGAGTCTCAATTATCCGACCTAAACGGGACCGACACATGGTCAGATTACCGAATGTCGGATAATAGGGACTTTACTGTAGCCTGGCCCCATCCCTCCCTGCAGATCCCTGGCACCCGGCCCTGCTCGCTGCCCCATAGCTCTCCTGGAGCCGCTGATGCCTGCAGCTCCCGGGGATGAAGCAGTGCTGGCAGGAGCAGCATCAGTGGCTCCAGGGCGCGGGCCGGGAGAATGGCCCCACTTGCTGCCCCGTCGCTCTCCTGGCGCCGCTGATG